TGTTAGCATTGTTTAAGTATATAGCCTATACGTCTCTAATTCCGCGCCTACGATGTCTGCTTAGTAGTAGCTATTGTGCTCGTCTACTGGGATGGAACCGAGTATTTCAGTCATCGACTCAAAAAGCGTATTAAAATACTTCGCCACAATAGGGAGAGACTCGTGCATTGGCATAATCGAGAGGACGAGGCCCGCGTCGATACTCGGGCACGTATTCTCGAGATCCGACCGTGTTTCTAGACGGAGAATATTTCTGTCGTGACATATCACCGTGGCTGAGAAATAAAGGGAAACCGTGTCTCCGTTTCGGATGGCGTCGTCTCCGCGGAATGCATTTTCGTTGCTTCCATTTTTAAGAGAGACATCCCGGAAGGGAATCGACGTATCAGCCGGCTGAATCGGCGACAGCCTCGAAAGTGGAACGGTTCCGAAAATAATTTTCTTACCCGCTAACACCCTATCTGTAGGAACGTAAATCATCCAAGTACCGGGGATACGTTTTCTTGTTTTCTACGCTTACGAGTTTTATCGACTTCGATAATGGAGTTTCGACAGAAGAGGAATAGTCGTGATTCGTATATGGCGGACTTTTGGATTAAATCGGTAGCCTAAATGTTTTATACCACGCGTTTAATATCTTCAATGGATCGTCGTATCGCGTCAGGGTGATTAATTAACGCGATAATGGAAGATATTAACGCGCTTCGATGGATCGGGAAAGGGTGAATATCGGTTGGTCGTGGCAGCTCGCCGCAAAGTCATCAAAGATTTACCACGAATCCGGTATCGGCCGTAAACTCCACCGCTGTTATTCCTTAGCTCACCGCGACCTGGCCGCAGCTACACCCCCGTGAGTAACCTGCCCAAATGGCTCGTACGTCGTCGCTTCAACTACCGGCCTAAACGAAATATTACGTCGAATATTGTTTCATATTTACTTACTCTCCGAACGCGTTTCGCGAGTAGAGTATATTTTGAAACGTGAAACGTTGAGTTCACGGATCTAACGAAAGCGGAAAGCCCTCGAATCAACTTGGACGATCAAATTCACCGTCTGTATGAACCGGTACGGAATAATTGACCAACGCTTTCAATTATACCGTCCGTGGAAACATTGTTGGTCGAACCGATGAGTGGAAACTGGAAGTCGTTGATACGAAAACAGGCACACAGCTCCGAAATATTGAATTAACCCGATGAACGATACGAAACCTGGAGACTCATCAGGTTCTATCGTCGATACAAATGAAAACCGTCAAGTCCGACCGAAAAGTTAACCCAGACCTTCGATCACGCCGTTCATGGTTTTATGAAAGAGACCTTGAGAACCGCTACGGTTAACGCTGGCTGGCGAGCAAGAATAAAAGGCAGAGTGGAAAATCGGCAAGAGAGGCGTAGAAAGGCGCCGGAGGTAGGGGCCAAGCGATTCATGTCGAGGAAGCGAGTCGTGCCGCGTTCTCAGTAAGAGGAGCACCGCGAAACACGGTACACCTGGCCATCGACGCGTGAACGTGAGTGTTGCGTGCGTCGCGACCGGTATACCCGCGAACAATTGGAACACAGTGCGTTTTCGAGGCCCAGTTTCGAACCCACTATCATTCTGCCGTCAGACCCAGAAATCGTCTCTTCGAACGGGTTTCAGGGATTCGAGTCGCGAAACCGATCCAGATCGTTCGTCGAGAATAATGGGACTGTATCGAGCATTGTCGAAGAAAGATCTGGTTTCGATTTCAAGTAATTGGTGAAACCACTTTGGATATTCAGATACTCCGAAATTATTCGTAGTATTTCGAAAGTATGAGAAATGTATACTCCATCTCGCAGTCGCCTCGATCCTTAATTCGATGTTCTAGTTGCGCTTTCTGCTTCTTGTTCGGGGATTTAACTTGGCACGTGGATGAAAGAGGGAGATACTTCTCACGTTTGCGACAGCGTTTAATGCACAGAGGTGTAGAAGATCCAGCCGTGAACGTCCTTGAGGGATCGGTTTCTGCAACGAATTGTTAAAGCGTCGAGCGAATGATTCAGGAATAGAATGCTTGGACAGTGAACGCGAGGCTAATTGTAAACGCAGTCGATAGATCCTTCGGAAGAGTCTATAACGTGGCAACTGCAGTTGCCTCTTGGCGGCCCGTTCTCGGCACAGCACAGTGGTTAAACTTCATCTCGCTTTGTGTTCGCGGGACTAATACATGGCGTTGTTCGTTGAAGTTAGCCATCGTGAAATTCATGTTTGTCTTTGTACTTGACGGGAGATGTGCTCCACAGAAGGCAAGATATTGTCTCGCGGTTGACCCTGCTGATACAGGTCTCTCGTCTAGAAATTTTGGCTCCGATGTATCTCGAGCAGAACGTTCTATCTTGTCTTTATTTACCGCAAGCCTAGCGATATTACCGTTTAAGTTTAACAAAAGTTTATTGTTTATCAGCTGGTAACTTTGCTGTCGAAAGTTTCTTGATACTTGGGTGTTCATATGCATATTACAGCAGCTGTTCTACTTCGTTGTTTCGCATTACCAAGAATAATGAGTATTGTTCTCGACGTTGAACTTCTAATGATATCTTATTATTCACCGAATTACCAAACTGCAACGTGTTCAGAAAATATTCTCAACGCGAAATGTAGTTGGTCTCGATATAGAATATAAAGATCGGTTTCTTCTTGGATCCTTTTACGTGCACGTGTTTTTGTTTAAGGCGATAAATCACACCTGGCTAGTCATACCGTCTCGTGGCCCTAAAAGTTTTTTTATAACACGGTATTCTTCAAAATCGTATCTTCGAACGGTGTAATAAAAATGTCGCAAAGACAGAATTAGATACGAGTTTCTGCTAGTTCGAACTCGAGCGAAGATCGCAAACATTCTTGACCACGTTCAAGGTTCTGAAACCGTGGTTGCAAGTGTCTGTAGCGAGTCTACGTGCCACGGGATCGATGGCGAACGGCACGTCGAGTGCGACTTATTGAAAACGGTTCGTCACACCTGACGCTTCCGGCCAGATTTCGTTTCGGCCACCGCTTACGTAGCTCGCGAGACACGATGCCTCGTGTTTCACAGAAAAATGAAATACACCGCGGTACATCGATCCCAGACGCAGGAATATCATATCAGACCACGGCACAGCACGGAGTGCCCTGAATATTTCCTCAGACTCTAGAATTACGAATCCCACGGGATCCCAGAAGCAATTTTTCTTAGACAAAATGTATGTAGTTTCGCATCTTTCTTCAGGCAGCAAGTTTAAGCAAGCACGTTTTCAGTATTGATCACGCTCTCCCCATTTAGATCATTAAAATCCGGGAACGAGTTTTTCTCGAGGGCAGTTGGACTCGAAACTGCGTCGTTGTACACGCGGTATTATCGACATCACGCGAACAGCATTGCATTCTCTCTTGTCTCCGTATTATGCAAATGTTCGGGAGGAACGTAGCTGCCGAGCAAGTGGTTTAATAATACGCCTGCCGGTAATGGGCAATGCTGGTTTCCGTCGACTCAGCCGTGGCGTTGACCAAGATTAAGGGCTTCCAGCGGAGCTCGATAAATTCAGATCTTCGCCAGGAAGTGGTCTTCCACTCACTCGTTCGTCCATGATCGCAGTTGCGACTAGAATCGTTGGGCCGACAGCGAAGTCAAGATCCTTAGCCGCTGAGAGATTCAGTAGACTCGATCTCCAGCGTTCAATTAATTTTACAACCTCTCCGTTCTATTTAATTTTTATTAGTCTGTCGCCGAATAATTTCCCATCTGCGCTCGTGTGCCATACTTCCTTCGAAACGCTCAAGGCAACGCGTAATAGCTCGCTTCTTCTTACCTGTCTCGATTCTCATTACGTTCATTATATACCTCGGCTCGTGGAGCTCTATTAAAATGATTGCACGTTCGTCATCGTGCCTAGACGCGTAACACGTGGCGGACAGAAGTTATTTCGAGGGGCGCAGCTGACTCGACTACAAATATCGTCGCCGGTGTTGCAGAAACTCGATATGAACGGCGTTGCACACGCCCTTCTACCAATAAACCGTATTGCAGCCCGTATCTCCCTCGACCGACCCATTAGCCCGTCGAACTTTAATACCGATTTGGATTATTACTATCCACCTGCGCGTACCCGAGCTGGATCTTCAATTCCTCGTTTGCTACGGTCTTCGATGCTTCGAGTCTGCCACGCGCAGTAGTACAGGCCTCTCACCGGTCGGACACTTAATTCCTGTTTCAAATCACTTGTTTCGTAATCTTTATTTATCGATCATCGGTGCTCTTCGACGACGCGCTCCTGACATATTTCTACCATGAAAACATTCGTTTCATGATCGCATTCAACTTTCGATATTCACACTTGCTGCGCGTGACAAACGTGTTCACTGGGCCTCGAAATGGCATGTGTAAAAGTAAAAAGGAAGCGATTGAAAAAGTGTGATCGTTCAGGCCGTGCGATGAAATCGGGCGAGAGACGTCGATCGCGGTTTCCACTCGCTTAGGGATGAGCCGCGGTGTTTCCGGTACGCGAGCAGCAGCAGCAGCGGCGAGGCCGTGCAAGTGAGCAGAGGAGATGCCGCCGCGGTGTTATCGTGCTGCGCGAGATTTCTGACGCACCAAGCCAGAATCCCCCCGGCTCGGATTACGTGAGCCAGGGAGAGAAGAGGGTGAAGGAGAAGGAGGAGAACCCTTTTCAGAGGAAATTGTGGTTCCGTGAATGTCGTTTGGATTACGGAGGAGCGTCCAACCGATGCCTGATTTCGGGAATCAGCGCGAGGCAGCCATCGTCCTCGTTTGAGCGCGCCCCAGGCATGAAGGAGCGCGAGATGAAACTCTTTGGCTGCCGATGGTCCTTTTGGAACTTCGCGACTAATCTCGCAGGTTCGTCATCCGGATATTATTGAATAATATTGTATGCCTCGGAGAGAGGTATTCTCTCTCCGTTAGACGCGTTTTGTTCCCCGAAATGGCAAGTTGGAAGGAAGTCGCTTCGAGGTGTTCGCACAGGACAAGGGCGAAACGAGTCGAGAGAACTCAAGGGCGATTGTTGGTCGTTGGGGTGGGTTTGAAACAGCAGCGCCCGAGCTTCGGTTCTCTCGGTCCTTCGACGAAAGGATGACGATGGTCGTCATCGAAGATGCAAGCCAATTCGAATTAATTCGTCGCGAAATATGCTCGAAAAAACGATCTTAGAACTCTTTACTCGTCGACAGAAAATTGGAATGCATGCGATTACCTCTAAAACAGCGTGGAAGAGTCGAAGTTAGTTCTCTGTTGAACCAACGAACTATTTTTACTGGCGAAACTCTCGTTTATACTAGGATTCGCACGATCGGCCAAAGATTTTTACCCGAAATTGGGGACATATCGTTATTCGTAGCGATCTAAATTCAGCTTGGAAGCATTCTCATCGCGTATCAGGGAATATTGGATGGAATTTTCGCATCGATATCGAAATCGGAGCGAGGTATTGTTGATTCGACCCAGTTTCCCTCCCAAATATTCCGTTTTTTTTTTCTTTTACAACGACTCACTCGGATTAGGGAAACCTCGAAAGAAGTAAAAAGGAAGAGACTTCGTATTATTGAATTCCTTTTTTAGCGGTACTGCCACGGGCGAGACGTAGTAGACCTTTCACCTCGTGAACTCTTCTTCTGTCTCCCGTGGGATTGCCATACCGAAACGATAAATTAAGGTTCGTACACCTATACAGTTCGTGGTACCGTATAACGTGTCACGAGCGGTTATTGGTAGTAGGTAATCCTTCACTCATTAGGTGGCTAAGTGAATTCATCGATCTTGCGACCATTGTACGGAACGTTTGCCCCGACCGCGATATTCTATAGGTAACAATAGTACCGCGGATTGGCTCGACTGTATCATTACTCTTGATGATGGAAGATGCTTGTCCTCCTCTCTATTTCGCTCTTGATTTCCGTTCTTGTTCCTTCGTATCATTATCCTCGTGTTAAACAATGTTGACTTCCATCTGTTCGAGTCGAGCGCTATCCTAAAAAGTGTTGGCGCAAAATGCTAATGCACGCGCATTTTGGGTATTGAGACTAAATTATACGAGACAATAAATTGCTCTCCTACTTCCACACGCGATATCTAACATCGGTTCATTATTCAAAAACTTTTTGCCAGCGATGGCATGTTCATAAAATTCAGGTCGAGCGTCGGAGCAGAGGATCAGCATCTAACCGTTAAATCGCTTGTAGTAACATCGACTCCCTGACCCTTAACAAACCCTCGATGTAACTAACCCCGTCCGTCTTGATCCCCAAATTTTCTCTGATCCTCTAAATTTCCCCTGTCCCTTCTGACGCGTCAAAACCGAGCACAGATTTATCCCTGCGTCGGGCGAAAAGTCGAGCAAATCCGACGATTCGCACAATTTTATCTTGGTCCCGTTCAATTTCTACACCAACGTTTCGGCAAGTTTTATCCCGACCAATTTTATTCTCTTTGCCTCCGCGTTTCCTCCGCTGGTCCGATCGCCTCTCGATCGGGAGAACGCTTACAGGCGTAATATACGTTTGAGGGATCAAGAGGGAAGATCTCTCCGGTTGCGTCCCGTTCGATTGCCTTTGATCGCGTATTCTTTTTGCGTCTGTTTATTTATTAACCTCGGCGAAGGCTCTCGCCTGTTATACGTACTCGCTAGCAAACCTTCTGTCCCAAGAAGCAACGCGCAGTTTCTTTTTTCGTTCGAGTAATGGACCGTTCAAGCGTGGGGCACACGGGGATAGATATCTCTTCTTTTATGGATTAAGCGACACGGTCTTTGGACAGACGTTCAATTTCGAGAGGAAACGGGAATCACCGACTTTGTATCGTTTGTAAAAATTGCAAGATCTCATACTGTCCGTAAAGAGTTTGGAAAGAGGACGCACTTTTAGGAACGATAGACAGTTTCTTCGGGTCAATTAAAAATTCACGTGATAGCGAGCGGGCCGTACATACACATTTATTTGAGATCGAAATTATACGTCTATGAATATTAATTAACGTGTATGAAACATCTCGTTTCAACAATTTATCATTTACTTCTTTTCAAATGTTCTACTCCTTAAAAACATGCTGACTCTTTCGGTGCACGTTTAAAATTCACTGTAACGTTGAAATGAAAGGAATCCCTTCCGATTTGATATTCCTTGTGAAACGAGATGAAATTCTGAAGCCCCGTCCTATCGAGGCCCTTAGTTTTCGCCTTACAAGTGCATTTCATCTGCGCGTAATTCGTGACACGCGCAACTAGAGGTACGGTGTGGCTTCCTTATTGAATATCCGAGTTCAACGACGTCCCGTAGGTGTTTCTTATCCGACCTAGAAACTTCCCAGACGTCGATATCATCTACTCTCTGCTATCCTAACACAAGGATGCCCATCTCTCTCGATTCGAATGATTTACAATGTAAGATACAGAGTTTCTCATTCTATATTGTAGCTCTTTCGTAAAACTGGATTTAATAACAATGTTTTCATACCTAAAAAAATATATAAAATGCAGAAAGTATGTGCATTTGGCTAAGAGGACATAAAAAACGTGTCCCTCATTCGACGAACAGGCAGAGGATAATCACGAGGGAAACGAAATTTTTGAATTAAAAGTGGGCAAGCTTTTTCGTACAGCGTGGAATTTCATTTCATTTCGCGACGAGCTCGTGTTTACGTCGAATAAAAAATCGGCGTTACTACCGTGGATCCGTAAAACGAGACGGACGGCTTGACGAGCCGTGCGACGCGAAACATTCATCACACGGACCAATTGAAGTACTACGTATAACATAGAAATATTCCACGCCAGCGCCTGTCAAATGGAACGTGCACGCTGGATACGTACTCGCTGCCCATCTTTCCTTTATTCCATGTTTCAGTTTAATGCGTCCCTTGTAGAGAATTTAATAATCAACGCGTATGTTCATAAGCCTTATACACGGCGAGGCAGTTATTTCGTCCACCTTAAACATCACTGAAACTGAGCATCGGCGAGAAAAATATTTTAAACAAAAATCATCGAGCTTAAAGTTGTATGAGCCTGTGTCAAATATTTGAAGTAATGAACTTTTAGAACGAATGATAATTTAATTACAGAGGCGCGAGGTTTATAAGACTGGTCGACTTGTTCTATTATAATATTATTTCGATCGCGATAATTTCTAATATGAAATAAAATATTGTCGAACCAGGCGACAGGTTTGCAAGGTAAGAAACGAAGTTAGCATCGTTCCGGAATAGATTCCAAAAATGTCACAGTAAATTCCCGACGGGATGTCACTCCGGATGCACCTCCTTTTTTCCCCGTTGGACCATTTCGATTCGATCCTCCGTTCCCAGAGGCGACGCGTTCAGTCAATAGCGCGGTTCGATTTTTCAAGTGTACACATAATATATGCAGATACGTAGGTGGCTGCCAATTTGCCGGGGGTCCGGGGTCGCGGTCGGATCCCCTCCGACGGGAGACTCGACGTCGACCTGCGGCGAGTGCTCCGGAAAAATGGCATTCGACGTCGTTGCGAGCCAACGATGAAATTCAGCCGAGTTCAGCGTTTCCGGAACCCGGCTGTGTCGATCCGGAACGGATTCTTTACGCGAGCTTTTTCGTGCCCAATCCTTTCGCTACCCGGAATTCATTCGTTTCGAAAGTATTGTAAAACGCGTAATTGAACGAAATGTTTTGAACGTAATATTTTAATGAATCAGGAATGAGTCTCTCAGATCTAATGCGTCGGGACTTTAGGAAAAATGGGGAATACGTGTGGAATCTTGGAGTAGCTCTCTCTGGTTCACTTCACCCTCACGATTCAATTAAGATTTCCAATGTCTTCAATGGAAGACTTAATTATATTGCTGAATGTGAGATACCCTCGATTCGAATCGTGTATTATTTGTCTGAACCAATTTTGTATCGCGTTGACGATGCTTGCCGGTCAAACGATAAATTCCGTCGTTATCGATCAAAAGAGCGGAAGTTGGCTGGCGAAGAAGTTTGATATGAAACCGACGGGTTCCACGGTGTTCCATTTGTTTTCATCTTCAACTACTTCTTCGGCTTGATACGCCGGCAAAAAGTTGTTTGCGTCAAAGTTACTCGCCCTTTTTTCTCCCCGATTGTCAACAATCCGTATCCTGGCGAATAGCCTTGTTTCCCGAAGGCCAAAACGTTTCATATCTCCAGCCAGTAATTTCTTTTCTTAACCGCCGAACTCTGACTCGTTGCCGTATCGAGTATGCAAACTTTTCTTTCGTCAGATCTTTCCTGGGAATTTTGCCAATGTATAAATTAGTAACAATCTCACGCGACACGGCAGAGGCAAAAGTTTCTATCGCATTAATTTTAGTTGTTCAAACAAACGTCGATATCAGTTTTCATTGATCGCTACCTAGGACGAAGTTTCGCTGAAATTGGCTGGCGTCGATGTTATTTTTTCATAGCAGCGTTCAAAGGTCGGGACGAAGCTTTCGTTCGTGAAGCTGCAATTTTTCTCGGCTGCGTTCCTCAAACGGTGATAACGCGATCGATCGATTTCCGAGACTCGCTAGTAAATAATAGCAGACACGTGCGAATATCCAATTGGCCCGCGGGAAGTTGGCCGGACGATACGCCGTTCCCGATGGGGTTTGATCCGCAACCGCGACGACCGCAAATGCAAAAGCGCCGTGAAAAATGCTGTAACCCAGCTTTCCGTTCGCGTCGCTGTTCGCAGCTGCATAATTCCTTTTTTCATCGATCGGATTAGAGTTTCGTCTTTAGACAAAGTTTCGCGAGTAGAATTACATTTTTTAATTCGTTACTCGGCGCAGAGGGATGCCGTTTAACACGGTTGAGTCTCGGTGAAAGTATTTTAAAGCTGCAAAGTACGGGTCCGAGCGTATTA